AGATCTGTTTGACGAGGCTTGGCAGAAGAAAGCGCAAGGCGAAGCGGGGCGCATCGGCTTCTACGTGGCCAACTTCGGACAGAGCGCAGGGGGGCCCGCACGACGCAGAGACGAGTTCGCGCAGATCCACGCCAATCCTGCCCAAATCATCGCCCTTTGCGAGTGCGACGACGATTGCTGCAGGGTAATCTCTGGGGAGGGCGACGCACGCGAGAGCACAGCCGCAGTTGCGGACGAGAAGTTCATGCATCGACCCCGATGCAACTACTTGTGCGTCAGGGGCGGAGAGCCTTCGGGGGCCCTCCTCATTGGCCTCAGAGACCGCAGTGGCGGCCAAATTGACCACGTGGACTTTACGAGGCCTTTCCACAAGAAGGGGAAGTCGAGGCCGAAGAAGAAGAAATCCGCAGTTGCGGAGGTGGCTGCGCCAAAATGGCACAACAAGTACTCGAGGGCGATGGTTGCGCGCATCACCCTGGGCGAAACGTTGCCCCATTTGGGGAAATCATTCAACGCCGTGGCGGCGCACGTCCACTACAATTTGGCCAACCAAGACTGGGGCCCGAAGAAACTCTAGGAATTCTACGGGCGGTTCGCCGAGTACGTCGCGAAGTGGGACCCAGTGGGACGTCAAAGTCTGCATGGGGGGCTTCAACACGTGCGTGTTCCAGCTCGTGTCCTGGCGCCGCAGTCGCGGGGTCACGGTGGGCGTCGCTGCGTGGGCCCCCTGGAAGACAGCAGGCGGCCTGCCCAGGGCAGACAGTATGGCAATTCTGTTCATCAGGTGCCCTGGGAGATACGAGTTTCGGCATGGCCTGGGCGCCCTGCACGACGGCCCTGGCGGTTTCCTAACAAACTCCCCTGGCGCTTTTTTTTCCGCGCCTTCGATTGCGGGAATGGCCCTGGGAATATGGTGCAGACTTACTTGCCGAAGGCTGGTGCCGTCGCAGACAAGCTTCGCGACTTCGTGATGCCATCTAACGCCTCCGAGACCGCAGTTGCGGATTTCGAACAGAAGATGGCGCGCCGTGCACGGGGCGAGTCAGGCAGGGCAAGCTGGGCGACGCGATCTGGAACGGCTCCGTCGGCAAGGCGCGAAACGGGGCGCACTTCCCCCTGGTGGCTTTCACCCGCGACGCGGGTCGCAGATCACCAGAGAAGCTTGCTTAGAGGAATGAAAAGGAAAAGAAGCGGAAGCAAGAGAAAGGCGCTTGCAAGGGCGGCCAGAAGGGCAGCAAACACGACGGCGACAAGGACACCGCCGTTGCGGGAAAGGGCGCCCAGAGTAACACTGCCCAGAGGGGAACCGCAGTTGCGGGGGGGGCCGCTGAGGCTGAGCGACCTTCGACACCGCAGTGGCCGCAGGCTGCGACCCCCTCTTATGCCGCAGTTGCGGCTGGGTCCTCTGGCGCCAGCGGGAGCGGCGCGCGGGGGGCGGGGGATCCCGCGAAGGGATGGCGCGAGAAAGGGCGGGAGTGGAGGGCGGGATGGCGCCTTGATGAGTGGTCGAGCTGGGCGGGGTGGCGCGCTGATGAGCGGAAGTGGTGGGATGATAATCGCGCCGCAGTTGCGGACAATGCCACGGAGGGTTCGCCTCCTAATCGCATGTGGGCGGGCATGCCCGACCAGACGCAGAACGCGGGCCACGCGGGGCCGTGGAACGACCGCGTTCCCTTGACCTACGAAGCGACACGTTGGTAATGGCCGCAGTTGCGGGCAAGTGCAGCAGAAGGTTTGTGGCCGCAGTTGCGGACAGCGCTTCGTCGAGACATGTTGGCAAATCATCATTGACGTCATCGCCATCTTCCTCATCGATCACCATCACCATCATCATCCTGCAGCTGCTGCCCCCCATGTCGCCTTGTGAGGGAAGCGTTCAAAGCAGTCCCGGGGGACTGCTTTGAAGTTTGCCTTGTAGCGTTCAAAGCAGTCCCCTCTCGTCCTCATTACAAGGGCTTCTGGATTATATGGGCCTCTGCGGTGCGACCCGGAGGTCCAGGGCACCGCTAGCAGGGGCAGAGCGCGGGCAGCTGTCCGCGTTCTGGGCCCTCATGCTCCTGCTCCTCCTCTTCCTTCCTTCCTTCTCCTCCTCCTCCTCCTCCTCCTCCTCCTCCTCCTCCTCCCTCCTCCCTTCTCCTCCTCCTCCTGCGCCTCTTCCTCCTCCTGCGCTTTTTCCTCCTCGTCCTCCTCCTTCTTCCAAGCAGTTGCGCGGCTCCATCATCCAGGATCGAGGCCGACAAACAGCAAACACATGTCTTGCACAGACCTTCCGGTCGTTTCCGCCGACCTTGCAAAGGGGTGAGCGTGTTGATGCCGAGAATCATGATAATATGTTGCGTTGAGCGACGCTTGTCTCCGCAGCTGCCGCGCGAGGAACGCATCACGATGGCCGACGACGAATGCGATAGGAGGCAACCATGGAGGTTGTCGCCTTGTGCATGACTGTACGCACCTGGAAGGGGTCAAGCTGACACTGAGTCTGAGGACTGTCCAGGCGAAACGTCTGCTCGGCGTCTCGCGCCATGCTTGTCTGTGCAAAGTTCAGGCTGGAGATCGCTTCGTGCTTGTACGTCAGAGCGCAGCTAAGTATGGCTGCGTCTTGACATCATTTGCTGTCGGCCAACTTTTCCGAGTTGAGGAATTATCCGTAGCCTCCGCTTGGTGGATTGATCTTCGGAGAACTCGGCAGGCGGTGGATCTGGATACACATTCGGGCCCTGTTGGAGGGGGGACATGTCCATATCCACCGCCTGCCGAGGTCTCCGAAGATGGGTCCCCACGGCGGTGATTTTAGATGAATCCCCGTCTCGCAACTTTGCCCATGCTAAATTTGTTCAGCGAGAACGGTGAGGGTACGGGGGTGTTCGAGTTTTGTGATTGCGCTGCCCTGTCAAATCAGGATTGCACCTGTGTCCTGATATATTGCGCGCCTAAGGCACTGGGCACTCCCCTTTCCTGGAGCATGGGGCCTGCGTCTTCGGGAGAATCATGAGTCCTGTCGCGTGCCATCTCCGAGCAAGCTCGACCAGAACAGCAAGGGAGAGGGGCAGAGTGCAAGTGGCAGGGCAGGCCTGGTGCTGCAGCCTTTGTCCTGTGAGGTCAAGCCAGACCACGATACAGTGGAGGTCCATGCCAGAAACACCGTGCTTGCCTCCAGGGTGCCCTAGGTTTCTTCGGTTTCGACGGTTTGCTATGGAAAACGTGACGTTCCCACACCAAATATCAATAGAAGTCTTGAGGTCTCAGGGTATGGTTTCTTGTGAAGGTCTCTTGTGGACTGGCCTCCACTGTAGCAAACACCAATCGACGGGAGTCACATTTTGGAAGACGAGACAAACCTCTCTCCGACGCAGGTTGGCCTGCGCGCTGGTACAAACGGTGCAGCGCCTGGTCCGTGCGGCGGCTCCCCCGCAGCACGGAGGCCCAGCCGTGCGAGGCGCCAGGTGCCACGCTTTGCTTCGCGAGCTTTTCGGGGCACGCGGAGCACGCCTGGGGCTTTGGCACCCCTGGGGGTGCGGGTGAGGGGGGCCGGCCCACATTCGCGAGCTGGGCCCAGCCCAGGTTAGCGTTGATGCCAGGCGATGCCCAGCTCGAACAAATCGAGATGGCATCCGATTCCAGATTTGGGCCCCAGTATCGTGAACAAAACTTTTCCAGATGAGGAGCCATCCCTGGGGGAGTGGCCGATAGGTATAGAAAGCATCGAGCCGCTGGCGCTGGATGTTTGGGCATTTCGCCCCCAGCCCCGGAGCCCACCCTGTCAAAACTTGGGGGGCATCGGGAAGAACCCCCAAGGGGCTGTTCGGACACGCCCCTGTCGAGGATGGACTCCCCCCATCGTGCATCTGGGCCTCATTTCTCTTGGCCAGCCGAAGATTCCACCGAGTCGGCGGGGATTGGGATATCGCCACATCCCTTGTCGGCTGCCCTGGGGGTGGCGCGTCCCTGTCCCCTTCTGCCAGACGTTCAGACGTCCGGTGCCCCGACCTCTTCGATGCGAGGTCCTTGGGGGGGGCGAGAAGAAGGAGGAGGAGGAGGAGGAGGAGGAGGAGTAGGGACGGGGAGTCTCGATCCCTTCACCAGGCCCGAACTGTCACCCCCTGGTTCCTTTTCCAAAGGTCTTGGGACCCGCGGAGGCCGAGGCGGCCAAGAGAGCTCCGCCCGGTTCTTTTCGAGACGCCGTGAGGATGCCATTACTGGAAGGTTAAGTTCGGCGCTGACAGAGCCGCAGTCGGAAGCCAGGCTAATCCAGCATATGCTCGTTGAATTCCGCTTTATCCCGCTGAACCCCAGACTCAACAGCTAATGGCCCGATAATCGGTCTCAGTAGCCCCTACACCCTCTTACCCTGATAACCGACGACGCCAAAAAGTGGCAATATAAATCACGACCGGGGACGTAGACCCCATCTGTCTGCGCCATGTTTCGAGCCAGATCGATTTGTGAGGGCCCTGGGGCCCGAAATTGGGAGAAACTGCCCAATTCGAATAATTGACACGTCAGGATCTCACGGCACAAAGTCCTCCCATCGAGGGAAGAAACACGGGGCCCATGACCAAAATGTCGCGGGATCTTGTCGTTGCCGATCTTGGTCATGGTCAATGTCGGCCGTCGCCGATTCGCAAGGATTATGCGCGAAATGGTGCTGACCAAGATCGAGTCTGACCAAGATCGGCACGGCGCTTCTGCGGTCAGTCTTGGCCATGGTCCCCGTTTCTTCTCCTCCAGAGACTGCTGCTGGCCCTCGGAGGCCGAAACCGTCGAAAAACCTTCGCACTGATATTTTGGTGCTCTTACCCTGAGATCTGCCGGCGCGAAAAAAGGCGACCGGCGCCCCAGACCCCAGCTCTGCGCCATTGATCGAGCCTCATCGATATCATTCGAGGCTCCAGGGGGCCCGAAACCAGGCGAGACCGCTCAGCTCAAAAAAAACAGACGCCAGGATCTCGGGGTACGAGGACCCCCAGGAGTTGCTTCCCCAGACGGTATGGGGCCCGAAGGTGGCGCGAGATGCGCCAGCGCGGCATCCGGCCAACATCCATCACCATGGGGTGCATGGTGGAGGCCCTCGTCACGAACGCCGGGCCGGAGGCGCGTGGCTGCGGCCGCGCCAGTCGTAGTCGTCGTTCTCGCCGTCGCCGTTCACGTCGAGGATCGAAGGCGCCCAGACATCGGGCGTCACGGAGCACAATCGAGACGAGAGCGTGCCGTCCTTTTCGGGCTCTCGGGGCCCTCGCCAGGCCCCTGCGCAGTCAGAGCATGACCTGGGGTGACAAACGGGCCCCAGGGGGGGGTCTTGAGTCTTGATCCTGAGGGAACCTGGTCCAAGACCCCCGGCGTGGGTGGGGCCGATCATCTCTTGGTCGAGAGGGCGCGGCGTCGGGTGTCCGAGGAGATAGTAACGTGAGAGGAGGATGAGGAGAAGGAGGTGGAGGAAGAGGCGAAGAGGTGCTCGGAGGTGTAAGAGGAGAAGAAGGCCTGCTGGTCTCTTGCCGAGCAGGGGTGAGGAGGAAGAAGAGGGTCAAGAGATGTTTTGCAGTGTTGTCTATATGTTTGGTTGTGTCGGATCATGTCTGGATTGTTTCGGAGGTATGGAGGAGTGGGAGCGAGCGGTTGTCGAGGAGATGACGAGGACGAGGATGAGGATGAGGATGATAATAATGATGATGATGATGATGATGATGATGATGATGATGATGATGATGATGATGATGATGATGATGATGATGATGATGATGATGTTGATGATGCTGATGATGATGATGATGGTGGTGGTGATGATGATGATGATGTTGATGTTGATGTTGATGTTGACGATGCTGATGCTGATGCTGATGATGATGGTGTGATGGTGGCGACGATGATGATTATGATGATGCTGATGCTGATGATGATGATGATGATGATGATGATGATGATGATGATGATGATGACGATGCTGCTGATGATGCTGATGATGATGATAGTGATGATGGTGATGGTGATGGTGATGGTGATGGACATTGTGATTGTGGCGATGTGGTGATGGTGGTGGTGATGAAGAGGAGGAGAAGGCGTGGACCGTTGACGAGAAGGAGGAGGAGGAGGAGGAGGAGGAGGAGGAGGAGGAGGAGGAGGAGGAGGAGAGGGAGTTGGAGGATGACCACGAGCAGTGGCACACCTCAAAATCCCCACCCACATACACGTCTGCTCCCTCTTCTCCCTCCTGCTCCCTCCTCCATTCTCCTCCTGCAGTTCCGACAGCTTTCGCGAACCTCCAGGAGCACTTCGAGCACGCCTCGAGATTCTTGGGCCGCGGGGCCTTCCCCCAAGACTACTCGTTCATCCTGAGTCGTTTTCTGACGGTTCCTGAGCCCGTGGAGGGCCCCGAGAGCCCGAAAACAGCGAACACATTCAGGACCCGTTTCCATCAGGACCTGAGGACCCGCTTCCCCCATGCCGACCTCGCCAGCAGGTCATGAAAGCCCTCGAGCCTCGGACCTTGGCGGCGCGCCTACAGGGGGGGCGATGCTGCGAAGGGAGCGGCCTTCTATCAGGAGGGGAAAAAAACAGTCATTAATGATTGCCGATTCGCAAGAAAGTGTGGGAATGGGACTTGGGGGGGAAGACGAACCTCCTCGACATGTGGAACATATGGGGGATCCTGGGATTTGTGTCTATTTACGTGCGTGTGTCCCTGGTCCGGGCCCCTTGAAAGATGTTATGACAATGACGCGCTCCACTATCGGGAGGACCGTACGGCTGGTGCCGCCGACCCTGTACGCGTGACCTTTCCCAGGACTCAGGACCCCTCCCTGGGACCCCCCTCTGAGGTCCTTCCGGCGCTCGCCCCCTGGGGCATTGCTCGGCGACCCCTCCCCCTGGGACCCCCCCGCCCCCGGCGGGGAAGGGCCCAAAGGGAAGGAGCTTCTGCGGCCAGTCCAGGCGTTTGTGCAGGGCCCAACGTTTGCTCTCCGTTTACGCACGTGTGCGCTCAGGCCACTGTGCTGGAGCCTCGCCCGTCTACGGGCCAACCCATGTGGTTTGACCGGGCCTCTGTCTGTCTGTCTGTCTGTCCAAAGAAATCTTGGGACCCCCCCCCAGGTCCCCCCCCCCCAGGGACCCTCGATACCGCCCCCCCCCCGGTCCCATGGGTTCCTGGGGCGGGTCCGCGGGCGGCGGGGAAGGGATCAAGCGGAAGGGGCTTCCCTTCGACTGGCTTTGCCGCGTGCCTTCATTTCCTGATGGCCCCGGCGGTTGAAGAGGAAGGCCAGGGGGAAACGGAAGGGAGCGGCGACGGTAACGGGGAAAGCAGCGGCGGCTGCGACGACGACGACGGCGAGGCAAACGGAACAGAGTCTCCCAGACGCCGACAGGGTCGGCGGCTTTCCGAGATTTCCAGGATTTCCTATCTGCCCCAACGTTCCACACAGGCTGCAGAAACGAAGGCCGCCCGATGTGTTTGGAAATCCTGGAACCTGAACCGATCGTATCATGACAGTATTAGCATCTCATATCAGAAGCCAGGGGGCCTGCTCAGAAGATCTCGCGGGGGTGAGTCTTCTGAGAGGGCTTTTGAGAAACCGGGAGTGTCTTCCAAGAAAACTCCATGCACGATTGACAGCGGCACAACCGCGGGGTATCGATTGAGTCGGCCATGATTTGCTCTCCGCTCTTCGGCGGATGCTGGCGCCCTGCGCCACCGCTTGAAGCACCGCACAGGCCCGCCCACCCCAGGACTAGGAACACAATGCATACACATAAGACTTTAAGAGCTCCGCGCGGATTTCTCGGATGGCGCCCACAGCGGTGCCCCCCAGTGGCCGACCCTGATTCCGCGCTTCCTGAAGGGTGGCCCAGCACCAATCCGATCCAAGCAATCCGGGCGGAGCTCCGAAAGTTTTTATGCTTATGCAGTTTGTTCTTCCCCTAGGGACGACAGGCGCAGTCTCCAGCCTCTCGGGGGCTCGCAAACGGTGCGGTGGCCACACCTTGTGGTGAGTCACTGGGGATCCGTTCTGGGCTCACGTGATTGGGGTTTGGGCCCTGCTTGAACAGTTGGAAACCGACCCCAGCCCCCACAACCATGGATTTTACATGTCAACGTTTTGCATGTATGGCGAATGTGCGTAAGTGCAGGCGCCGGTAGGCGAGGCCATTGCCAGCTGCCGCAGGGGGGCCCCGCGCGCGCGGCGACGTCCTGTGCCATTGCCAGCTGCCGCAGGGGGGCCCCGCGCGCGCGGCGACGTCCTGTGCCCACTTGACGCGGCCCCGCCCGCGCCGGCATTCCCAGGGCCGCACGTGCCACGGCCACGGCATGCAGTGTGAGGCGACGGCGGCGCTATCCCTCGCACGGCAGCGCCGCTGACCCAGCCGAGGGCCCCCGCCCCCGCCTCCGTCGCCCCTCGCAACCCCGCCGACGGAAGAGTTTAGTTCGGGAGCGTGTCTCTTGAGCAACTGGTCAAATGTAAAGTTTTCTTTGCGTTCGATAAACGGTTGTTTCTGTTTATATAACGTTTTCGGGGCTCTCCCGCGCGAGAGACTTCCCGCTTCGGAGAAGTTTCGATCGCGTCCTCGCAGAAGTTCTGCAAGGACGGGTCGGGCGACTGGGGCCTGCAAGGCAAACAGGCGGCGCGGTGACCGCACGTGCAAAGAGCTCTCTTCGGAGACCGCGAGGAGGAAAGGGGAAGAGGAGGAGGAGGAGAAGGAGGAGGAGGAGGAGGAAGAGGAGGACGAGGAGGAGGAAAATGACAGGAACTCGAGGAGGTGATGGAGGGAGGAGGCGGAGGCGGGGGGAGAAGAGGAGGAGGAGGCGGAGGAGGAGGAGGAGGAGGAGGACGAAGAATTCCGAGGCCGCGGCCTCCACGCCCCCCCCTCGCGCCACGCCAACTCGTGAGTGCGCGCCGCAAGGGCGCCCGCGACCGCGGGGCGCGCGCCCGCGCGCCCCCGCCGCCCCGCCCCCTCCCGGAGGCCGGCCACGCCCTCATCCGCGAGGTGCGGGGCGACAAGGACGCGGGGGGGTTCGGCATGTGCACACCGCGCCCTGGGCGCCTGTACTTGTGCTCAGGTGGGGCCTGTACAGGAGGAGTATTCAAAAATAGCGTCAAACTAGTATGGGGACGATGTTTCACCCATGTCAGGCATATGTTTGAATTGTGTTGCCACGTGATGCATCTTTCCACAAGTATCAGCCTGTAGGGCTGTAGGGGGACATGCCCGACCAAATTTTATGCCGCTCGCGACAGCGGCCGTCCGTCACCGGGAGGGGGGGGAGAGGGGAGCGGGTCACGACCCGCGCCGGCGCCGTCTGTGCGCTTTTCCCCACGGCACCGCCGCGGGTCGTGAGAGGGGGGGCGTCCCCAGAAGCGGGCGTCATCGGAGATTGTTAACAAAACGCACGGCTGGTCGGCCAAGGAGCCGCTGGAATCGGCGAAGGAGTTCGGTGCGTGGGTGCTCCAGCACCCCGCAAGTTGGGAAGTTGGGGGCATCCCGAGACATACGATGGTTTGATGTATTCAATGCGCGTTCCCCGGAAATCCCGACCCGTTTTCCAGGGCCGGTTTTTCATCTCGAGTCGTTGGTTGACGGCCCCGCGGCCCGGCGACTCCCCCCAGAAGCCGAGGACCACCTGTCTGGGTATACACCGAATCCTTTGGCCGACCAGATGGTTTGGTTAGGCGTTTACTGCTGCTTCTTGTAACAAGTCGCTCGTACGCGCTAACAGACACTAGTAGGCGCCGATAGGCGCTAATGGACGCTCATAAGCGCTGACAGGGACACTGAAAGACACTGAGAGGCGCTAGTCGTGCGGAACATGCGTTTAAATCAGTCTCGTGCACAGAGTGCACAAGCTTGGTGTACGGTGGGTTCGCGTGATGTCGTTCAACGGCGACCCCGCCGCTGGCGGTCAACGTTGAACGCCGCCAGCGACCTAGAATCGGTCGATGTTGAACGATCTGAGGCTTCGGAAACGGCCGATCGTTCAATGCTGAACCATCCCCGCGGTGTCAAAAACCAACGCCGAAATCGGCACGGCACGAACTTGCCGTATGCTTCGCGCCTCTCCCGACCGAGGACCTCTGCGACCTGGTCAACGCGGTGATCTACAACTCGGTGCTGAAGGGCTACGCGCAGCAAAAGCGCCACGCCGACGTGTGGGCCGTGTACCAGGATCAGAGAGACTTGGCATGGCTTGGACGTGTGCATTTCTTCTCGGCGGGGACCATCGAGGAGCATCCTGGATTATTTCGGAAAAGAGCACGCACGAAACTGAAACATGCACGGGGAATTGACGTCCGAGCGATGGCCAGGGGGCGAGGAAAATAACAACGAGATCCCCAGGAGGAGGGTCCGGGGCAACGCTGGCCGTGGAACAAGGAATGACATAAGCATAAAACATCTCGGGGGGGCATTTCTCGGATCGACGCTGGAGCCCTCCTGGCGGCGCCTCTGGCGCCGCCCTCGTCGCGCTCTGCGTGCCATGGAGGGGTTTTAGCACCGATCCGGGACATTAGTAACACCCTCCTCCTCCTCCTCGTCCTCCTCCGCCTTCTCCTCCTCGTCCTCCTCCTCCTCCTCCTCACCTCCTCCCTCCTCCTCCTCCTGCGCGCTCCTCGCGCTAGGGAGGGGGCTCCAGCACCGATCCGAGAAATCCGCGCGGACCCCTCACAGTTTATGCTTATACCGTTTTCTTGTTCCCCGAGATCAGGGGCAACGTTCGAGAGGGGATCTCAGGAGGGGAAAAAACACAGAAACAAGCCATCGTCGAATCCCAGAAAATCATGAGGAAATATGGGGAGTGAGGGCGAAAACGAAAATCCAGAAAATATGGGAGAACATCGGGACTCCTGGTATTTGTGTATATCTATTTGTGTGTCCCTGGGCCCCTTTAGGTTGGCTCAGGGAGGGAATGCATCGACCCCAATTGCGCATGGATCGACGACAGTGGCTCGATAATTAGCCCACTTCGCCCAGGAGCGCGCGGGGGTTCCTTTTGCTGGAGCGTTGTTTCACTGCCTTTTCCCCCCTGGTCTGGGTCAGGGTCCGTTGCCCGCAGGCCGCGGGGGTCTGCAGGTGCACTCGTATTGGACGTCGCCCTCACACGCCTGACCCCGGTGGCCACCACTCCTACAGAGGGAAGGGTGCTGGGGTCGCGGTTTGTGGAGGAGGAGGAGGAGGAGGAGGAGGAGGAGGAGGAGGAGGAGGAGGAGAGGGAGGAGGATGAGGAGGAGGAGGAGGAGGAGGAGGACGAGGAGGAGGAGGAGGAGGGGGAGGAGGAGGAGGAAGAGGGGGAGGGTGTTTGCGAAGCAGCCTTGCCCTCGTCGATCCCTTACCTCGGCGCACTTCCTGAGGCCGTGCGCGGCGACATATGCCCGAGTCCACGGCCTCGCGGGCCGGGCCCGCGGTCCGGTGCCCCGTGGATGTGGGGCAGTTGTGTCGCCCATGCTCCGCGCGGAACGCAGCCATTCGACCGCGTGATTATCCGTGGGACCGCGCCCTTGGAGTCCAGGCCGCCAGTCTGCGTGGGTCTGGGTTATGTTCGCCGGTCGTGGGGAAGTTCAAGTGATTTCTCGTGCTCTTGGGATGGTTCTTCGTTGTTTTCTGTCTGTGCTGTGTTTTTCTTGCAGAATCTGCCTCCTCAGGGAAAGTGCTTGTCGAGCCCAGACCTCCGACGTCGTGGCTTCTTCCCGTCGGTTCCCCTGGAGGTCCTGTCCCCTTCCCCCTGGGACGTGCTTTTTCGTGAGGATGCTTTCTTCAGGCTTCTGCAAGTGGATTTGCATGGAGGCCGTGGGGGGGTCCGTGTCGAGGCTCGAAGGAAAATATTGACTTCACGCAGGTCAGGACTCTCGGCCCAGCGCTGTTTGAAATGGCGGAGAGGGAAATTCGGATGCAACTCCTGGGAAGTCAAATTTTGACTTCGCCCTGGTCCGAAAACCAGCTTACTCCAACGCAGTCCCGCTTAATCCGGCTTGATCCCGCTTAATCTGGCTAAATCCCGCTTGATCCGCGGCCTAATTCGCCGTAGCAGCCGGGGCTCAATCCTCCCTCATCCTTCCGACGAAGACTTCCCAGTAGTTGCCTCCTAAGGGGAAATACAGTGTAAGTAAATTGCAAGAACCCCAGATGGAACGCGCCATCCCGAGCCGTTTTGTGGACGGTCTCGGAGCCCCGTGAGGGCCACTTCGGAAGCCGAAGCGTTGCTGAGGGCGCTCCGTCGCAGGTTGCCGCTCACGGCGCGAAGGGTCCCGGGAGGTTCGAGGGTCGGGGATCGAGGATCGCGGTTCGAAGTTTCAGGACGCTTCCTCGTCCTTTTCGGGGGTTTTGAGTCGAAGAACATAGAAGGGCATAAACATAGACTCTCGACTGTCCGCGCAGATTTCTTGGATCCGCGCTGGGCCCCGCTGGCGGCGCCTCCGGCGCCGCCCCGCGGCGGACCCGAGAAATTTGCACGGACCGTCGAAAGTTTACGTTTATGCAGTGATTTCTTTCTTGTTTGAATGCCACCATTCAGGAACAAAAGAAGGACGCACACGTACATGAATCCACGTTGGTCTCGACAGTTCGCATTTCGCGGACGTTCGTTTCACGAGGTTGGTCTCGCGGACGGGAGGGCAGTATTGATGTTCGTGCTTGGGCGCGTCCGTCTTTTGCGGCTCCCCAGCCATGGATGCCTCTTTGACCTCTGGCGGGACCTCCCAGGGACCTGCGCAGGGTCGGAGGGCTCGGGGGGCCTCCGCAGGAGATGCTCAGGGACCGGCTCCAGTTCTCCATCGTGACCTACAACACGATCGTGGACGCGTGCGCCAAGTGCGGCGAGATGGACAGCATCCCTGGCGTGATGGAGGAGATGTCTCGGCAGCACATCGAGCCCAACGTGATCACCTACAGCACCATCCTGAAGGGGTACGTGCAGGAGAACCAGCTGGAGAAGGCCTTCCAGCTGCTGGACGAGATGAAGCTCACAAAGGACCTCCGGCCAGACGAGATCGCCTATCCAGGTGCCTGAGGCAAGTCCCGTCACCGTGCCAGCTCAGCCCGTGGAATGGCAAAGCTTCGAGCACCGAAGGCCGTCACATGACACCTTCCGTCTTCACTTCTTGAGGAGCTCCCATGGATCTCATGTGGGCCGTCTTGAAGCTGTCTTGGGCTCCTGTAGGGGGCAGTCTAGGGTGTCCCTTGTGGCTCTATTGGGCCGCTTTGGACACATCTTGGGCCGTCTTTGGGCCGTCTAGGGAAGTCTCTTGGGGCCGTCGTGGGGCTTTCCTGGGCCGTCGAGGAGCCCTCTGAGGCCATCGTGGGTCCCTCCGGGAGCCCTCTTGGGCCAGCTTGGGGCTGCCTCGGGCCGCGTGGAGGCCCCCCCCCTCCCTCTTCAGGGATCGGCTGCCTGCGCCGCCCCCCTCCCGGGGCCACAGTCCGTGGCATCCCTGGCACGCAAGAGCTGAGGGTCCGCGCTCCCAAGGCCACGAACCCGCAAAGAGCAGTGGCAGCCGCGCTCCCGAGCCTCCAAGACTCACCGAGCGCGTTCCACTGCTCGCAAAGTGCCTACTCGCAAACGCCAGAACAAAAAAACATGTCCGCATCGACGTACTGCACAAGTATCGTAAGTCTCCCATGGCGGATCCAGGCCATGTGCGAGTTGTCACTTTGCGAGTAGTGGAGCGCGCTTCTCTAAAGACGGCCGAGGCAGTCAACCAAAGCCGCCAAGATGGCGCACGGTGCCTCCAAGACGACCCAAGTGGGCCCTTGGAAGATTGCAGACACCCTGCCAGACAGCCATCCCACCACGCCTCAACTCAGAGGAGGAAAAAGTACCGATACCGCTGCGCTTCCCTCTTTCCCCTTATTGGGGCCTCCTGGGAGGCCCTCGTCGCCACCGCTGGATCAGGCTCTAAATTCTAGTCAGAACGCACCCCGGGAGACGTTCGTGGAGCAGCGGCATCGGTACCTTCGGGTTTCCCATACCCCACACCACATCTCAGCGTGCCGAGGGGGCGGTGGCGGACAACACGCTTTTGGACGGCTGCGCCCGCCGCGCCCTGTTTGACCGAGGCGTGGCGCTGCTCAGGGACATGGAGGATGCGGGCGTGAAGCCCAGCAACTTCACGCTGTCGGTGCTGGTGAAGCTGGCGAACCGCAGCCGGCGACTGGACCAGGCAGGGCCAATCTCGAACCGGTTCGGATTGCCGATTCCGATCGATCCGATCGATCGATCCGACTGCGATACTCAGGCGATCCGACGCGGCCCGATGCTTGCATGGCGCTGTTGTGCATCATCCAATGATCCTCAGGACGTGTGTTAGCCCAATGTGTATTTACCCCGTTCAGCCACACCCGCAGATCATCACATCGCCTGCGTCGTATGGAAGGGCCTCGGTGGATAAACACACGTTGGCGCGTTGTGAGGATCATCAAATCATGGCGCGACTGGGCGATTCGATCTCGACCCCGTGCCGATGCCGCCCGATCCGACGCACGTTGCGAGCCGATGCCACTTCCCGATTCGATGCTGGCTGATCGTGCTCGATCATCTGAGGGGCGCGAAGATAGCCTCGCTTGCCGCGTCGCGGCCTTGGTTAGAGAGGCGCCCTTCTCCTTGGCGGCTGCGCGAGGGCGCGAAGCCAACCGCCCCAGACATGCGACGTATTGACTCGTTCAAGACACGTTCCCCAGAAGTCCCGAACCTTTCCCACTGGCCCAGTTTGTCGTCCCGAGTCTTTTTTTGACGGTCCCGAGGCTTGGCGGTGCCCCCCAGAGGTCGAAAACGGCCAAGAGCTTCTCGTCGTGATGTTTGCACGACGCGATCATATCTGGGGCGCGTCGCGCAGCGCGGAGCGCGGTGCGCGAAGCGCGAGGTTGGGTGGCGGGGATCCTGCCAGGCGTTCGAGCTCTGCGACAGAGTTTCCCGCAAGCATTGCCTCCGGCCGAATATCCACGTGTTCAACAACCTGATGCAGGCGTGCACCGCCCACAAGGACCACGACCGTGCGCTCCAGGTCGCGCGTGGTCAGCCGGCGCCTCTCACAGTGAGGTGTTGATGTATCGCCTCGCGCGCGCGACAGATGATGTTCCCCAGTCCACGAGCGTGTATCAAACATCAGATGTGTTCCCACGCGCGCGCGCGCGCTGAGGCCTGGTTTAGTTCCCACGCGCGAGCGCCGAGTCCTCCCTAGTCCACGACCTGCTAGTTTACAGTGGACACTCCTGCCAAGAAACACCCTACTTGCCTTCAGGGTGCTCTGGGTTTCTTGGTCTCGATGAGTTTGCCATGGGAAGCGTGACGTGCCCACACCAAAAGTCAGTGGACGTCCTGGGGTCTCAGGGTTGGGCGTCTTGTGGGAGGTTTCTTGTGGTCGAGTCCTTATTGTGTATTGACAACCTACCGGTAAGGAAGGGCCAGTGGGGCGGCAGGCCTGGCCGAGCAGAATTCCGCGAGGCAAAAGTAGCTACAGGGCCCACTTCGATCCGATCGATCCGCTTCGACGTCGATTCTAGCCGGCCTAATCCGATTTGATTCCGATAGTCCTACAATTCGACATATCCCCCTGCTTCAGAAGGGGGGCGAGTGGAGGCAACTCGTCGGCGAGCGAGGGGGGGAAATGAGAAGGAGAAGGCTTCCTCAGAAGGCGGCGGGACTTCTCAGAAGCCCCCACGTCTTCTGAGAGATTTTCTGCGTCTTCGCGGAAGGCTTGGGAAACTTCTCAGAAGGCCGGGGGGCTTCCGAGCCTTCTGAGAAGGCCCGCCCCTTCTCACTTCCCCCCTGGGCTCGCCACCGAACAACGGTAGATGGCCTTGGGGGGGCCCTCGTCGCCGCAGCTGGGCGCAGCTCAGAAAGTTGGTGCGTTCGGACCTCGGGAGAGGTCCGGGGACAGATTTCGAGCTGCCGCTGTCTCACTTCGCCCTGCTCCGAATGCTCGCATGGCGCTGTTGTGCATCATGGCGCGGCCGATCCGACTCGAGTCCGGCTCCGTGACGGTGCGGCCTGATCCGACGCACAGTCCGATTCGGCCCGTTTTTCCGATTCGATGTTGGGTGATTTTGGCAACAGTTCTCTTGTTAATTTTGTCTGTCTGTGTGTTTTGTTTGGCAGTGCTTCTGCAGATGGCAGCATGCCGCTCTACAAGTAGAGCGTTCTCTCGGCGGCCCGCGTGGACTCGTGTCGGCGCCCAGCATGCCTCTCCACGCCCCTTCCCCCGGCGTGGAGTGCGAGGGAAGGAGGTGCCCAGCCTCGTCTTAAGTCGGGCATGTCCCTCTACAGGAGGAATGTTCAAAATAGTCATAATATAGTCTGGGGGGCGATGTTTCGATTATTTTATTTTGGAGTATGTTTTGACTATTGTTCATTTTTCTCTCAAAGTCCGCCTGTAAGAGGACATGCCCGACCTGACCCTTCCCCCGGCGCCGAGTGCGAGGGAAGGGGGGGCCCCAGCCTCGTCCCCGGAGGCCCGCGCGAGCCTCCTGAAGCTTGTGCGTGTGCTTCCTCGGGGCTTCGCAGGTGGGCCGTGAGTCACCGCCCCAACCCAAACCGACGGCTCCGATCTGCCCTCCATTTCCAGTGGGGGGGGGGTCGGGGAATACCGAAAAAGCACGACTTGAATCCGTACCGCCCGAACCCGAAATTCGGGTCTTCGGGTTGGGTTGGGGTGGTCTGGTAGGTAGTCAGTGAGGGATGTGGCCCGAAGAAGATCAGAGGAGGACAACTGCATAACGCACAAATGTTCGGAGGTCCGCTCGGATTTCTTGGATCGGCCCTCTGGCGGCGTCTCTGGCGCCGTCCCTGGCGCTCTCCGCGCGTCGAAAGTTGATGCTTATGCAGTTGTTCCCTCTTCTGCATCAGGGCCCCATGTCTCAGTGCCCCATCTTTGAAGCGCTGGCTTCCATGCAGCAGTCGGTATTTTTCTGCCCTGGAGGGCATCTCGGGATGCCACGGGGCGCTCATGCCATTTAGGATGCAACTCCTGAGAGGTTAAACTCAGAATCGGTGCTGATTCCTGGCCGAAAACTGTACCAATCCAGCTCTGTCTCAAGTCATCAAGCTTCATCCCGCTCGATCCGGCTTCATCCCGTGCAATCCGGTTAATCCTGGACTCAATCTTGCTTCATCTAGCTCGATGGTCCCCTCAATCGCGTTTACAGTCAAAGCGCATCCGTAAGGATGCGCAATTGTCCAAGGTTACCCCTGCATCCTTGCCACTTTCGACACATCCTTGGCAACTTGACGGAGCTAACCCCGTTCGAAGAGCGTCGACATGCCCTTCCAAGGCCCTTGCATCCTTGTCGTGCATCCTCGTTCTACGCCTTGACTGTACGGTAAGTAGGTTCGTGCGGCGTTGGTGCGCCGGTGATGCTGGCGAAGGCGCTCAAGGTTGAACTACGTATGATAGACCGGCGCGGAAACACCGAGAGGCATGGTAGCGCCACTGGACCCGACGGAATTCAGCCTTGCACGATCGGGGCCACGATCGGTTCGAGGCTGAAGGATCGACGCGGTGTCCAAAACCTCGACGCGCGCCGACGCCGCACGAACCTGCCGTGGTCAGCTCTGAACCGCTCCGACGAAGACCTCCCAGGAATGGCTCGGACGGAGCTAGGATGAGGATAAAGCAGTTCCAGAGCGTCCAGAACGCTCACAGAGCGTTTCGAGACATGCTTCCAGAGCCGCCGAATTTCAGAGGTTCTCGATGTATCCTCACCCGATGTTGTCCTCGTCCTGGCCTCGTCTCAGTGGCCTCCCCGCGCGAACCCGCCGCAGTCAGCTCTGAACCGCTCCGACGGAGGCCTTCGGGGAGCCGAGCTGCCCTGAGGCGCCCGCGCTGAGGCGCAGCACGTGCCGTGTTCGGAGCGTCCGCGTGGGAGCACGCTGCGCGTTGGCGCCCGACGTGCGGGTCCGCGCCTTGGCGGACGTGCCGCGCCGGAGCCGCGCGTGCGGTCTGCGTGCGGAGCTCCGTGCCAGCACGCTGCGTGTGGCGCGCTGCGTGTCGGGGCAGCGTGAAGCCCGGGTCGGGCATGCCCTCTGACAGGAGGAATGCTCAAGCAGAGCATGCACAGAAAGCATCTGGGGACGAGGTTGTCTGCCATGCCGGTTTATGCTTGACTGTTGTTATGCCGCGCCCCGTTTTTCCTGCAGACTCCGCCTGTAGGGGGACACGCCCGACCGAACGTGAGGCCCAGCATTGGCCTCCCTCGCGGGGAGCGGCGGCCCGCCGCACCCCGGGCCGCCCGAGGTCCTCGCCCGGGCCGCGGAGGAGGGCGTGCGCCCCGACGCGCGCACCTACGGCATCCTCCTCCGCGGCTGCGCCGTGGCGGGCGACCGGCGGCACGGCACAGATCGGGGGCGGCGCTCCCTCTGAGGTCCCGGCGGCTCGATGGTTTCGAGCCGGACGTCTTCGCCCAGCTCCCTCCTCCTCTTGCTCCTCCTCCTGCTCCTCCTGCTCCTCGTCCTCCTCCTCCTCCTGCTCCTCCTCCTCCTCCTCCTTTTTCAGGTTCATGCGAGTTTACTTGCATGGCGTTCGCCCCTCCCCCTCCCCCCCCCCCCTTCGCCCCTCGTCACACGAATACCAGCTTGCAAGTGCCCTTCGACGTGCGTGATCTCCGCACGCGCAAGTCGTTGGTCGTTGGCGGCTTGCTTCGGGTTCAGGCCCCCCCCTCCCCCGTCAATTCAAGTAAACTTGCCGGGGACTAAACAAAAACAGGCTCTCAGGGGCAGCGCTCCCTCAGATCCTGGGGACTCAATGTTTTCGAGCAGGACGTTTCCGCCCAGTTCTCCAGCCCTCCCAACGGGGGTCCGAGCAGATGGGGTCGCAGGACAGCGCCGCATCGTCGATGCATCGCCGATGCAGCTCGATGTGGAGCCTGATTTGCTCCGCGATGGCGTCGCCGGTGCACCGCCGACGTCGGCGATGCATCGCCGATGCATCGGCTATGCATCGGCGATGCGGTGCGATCCTCCGACCCCACTTACTCAGACCTCATCCACTCCAGTTTCGGTCCCCGGGACCCCCACAGATCGATCCGGCTCGAAGGATGGCGTAGAAAGGTGGAGTCCAGGGCTCCAGCCCTGATGTTTCACGATTCCTCAATTTGCTCGAGACGTCGGATCTCCAGGTTGGGTGGGGGCGCGCTCGGGGGGGGGACCGCATCGACCCGCAATCGTTTCGGGGGGAATGGTGCGGGGCACCGTTCCTCAGAAGGGGAAACAACACAGACACAAATCATCGTCGACTCCCAGGAAAATATGGGAACAGATGGGAAGTGGGGGGAAGACGACAAGCCAGAAAATATGAGAAAATATTGGGAAGCTTGGGACTTGTGTCTACTTGTCTGTGTGTCCCGGGGCCCCTTTAGTTTCGGGCTTTCGGCTCCTGGGATTCGGGCGTGTTCGTCGGTTCTCGGCGGTGCTCCAGCCTCGGGGTGCGTTCCAGACGCTGCGCCCCGTCGAGGGGCGTGCGGAAGTGCCCGGGGTGCGTCGCGAGGTGGCCGCCGGGGGTCCGAGGCGTGGCCCGAACCCCGGACGACGCTGGTCACTGCTCACTCGGGGGGGGGGGGCTCAGGCAGGGCTCGGCTTTTTTGGCGATCTCGCAGGCCGCTTTCGTTCTGATTCCGTTTTGCAGCAGAGGAGGAGCGAAGGCAAGCCGAGGGAAGACGGAGACAAGACGAAAACGAGAAACACCGTTTGGGTCGAGCCCTGGGCTCGGAGGGGGAGCGCATCGGCCCCGATCGCCCGCTCATCGCCGATAGCGGCCCGATCACCCGCCCCGCCCCAGAGTGTGCGGATGCGCCATCGGGGGTCCATCGCAGATCCATCGGCGAGGCATCGCCGGCTCCGTCTCGATGTGATTTTTTTTTTTTTTTTTGCGCTGGTCCCCCCTGTGAGTGTTGAAGGGGGGGCCAGGGCCCCCGAAAGCAGGACACTGACGCTGCAAAGCCGGACTTAAGAAGCTCCAGCGGAAGAGCGCGGAGTGATGGATCATGCCTCCGCCCACGGCTGCAGTTTGTTCGGGCGCGCCAGGATCCGGAACCCTGCTCCGGGGCCTGGACCAGTACGGCCGCAGGGGTCGGCATGGAGCAGACGGGTCCCGAGGGGAACGGGTCCTCGGGACTTGCGCCATGCTCGGAGTCTCGGGGCGCCCCCTGGGCCCCAGGGAGTGTCCGAGCAGGACTCGGGATGGAGAGCTGGCCCCTGGGGAAGGCCCCCCGGGGTCCGGGGCCCGCTCCCTCGGGAGCCGTTTGTTTCATGCCGGTGGGAGGGGCGATCGTTGCAGGGGTCCCTCCCTTTCCGCCGCCGGCTTCCCAGTTTCGGGGTTGGTTGTAGGTGTCTGCGTGTGTAGGTGTGTGTGCGTGTGTATGTGTGTGTGTGTGTGTGTGCGTGTGCGTGTGCGTGTGCGTGTGCGTGTGCGTGTGCGTGTGCGTGTGCGTGTGCGTGTGCGTGCGTGCGTGTGTGTGTGTGTGTGTGTGTGTGTGTGTGTGCGTGTGTGTGCGTGCGTGTGTGCGTGCGCGCGCGCGTGTGTGTGCGTGGTGGTGGGGGGGCATCATGGCTGGGGCAATGAGATCTCCTGGGTTTCACGCCCCCCCCCTTCTTTCAGCGCGTTCCCTGGCCCCCCCTCGTCCACTCTCGTGCCTCGGGCCAAAACGCCAACTTCCCTCTTCCTGCCCCCCCCCTCTGCGGCGCAGCCGATCGTTTCTTGGTGTCGTAAGGCTACGGGCGTCCCGTCGGTCGTCCGTAGGTGTCGTCGTCGCCGGCGCCGTCGCCAGCCTTCCTCCGCCTGTCGTCGTCTGCGGCTGCCCGTCCATCCTTTCTGCCCGGTCCTCGTGCCCCTTCGTTCGGCATGAACGAGATGGACACGGAAAGAGTGGGCACAATGCCCAACAGCGGTGTCTTGTCACGTTGAACAGGGCTCGCTGTCGGCGCCGCTGCGGCCTGTGTCCGTTTGAGACAGGAGGCCGCCTACCCGACAGCGGCCGCTGTTGGTTTTGGGCAACATTTGCTGTTGGGCATTCTGCCCGTTTTTTCCATACCCATTTCGGGCGTCCACACTCGTGGGCGCGCGCGATGACAGCCCAGAATCCCAGAGCCCAGCTTCTTGGCCCTCGGGGGTCCGGGCCCCCCTCGTTCACCGAGCGCGCTTCACTACAGTGGAGACCCATGCCAAGGAACACCCTGCGTGCCTCCAGGGTGCCCTGGGTTTTGATGGTTTTGCGATGGACAGCGTGACGTTCCCACACCAAAAATCGATGGACGTCCTGGTGTCTCAGGGTTGGGTTTCTTTCGCTAAGTGCCTACTCGCAAACGTCCAGAAACGCATATGCCTGCCTCGGTGTAATGGATCGTAGACCCCCCGCGGCGGATCCGGGCTGTTTGCGAGGAGCTCCTCTGCGAGTAGTGGAACACGCTTGTCTGCTCGTGGCCACGGCTGGTCGCGGCTCAAGAGACGCTGGCCAGAGCGGGCCCTTAAAGATCTCAGGGGCAGTTTAATTTTTTGTTTGGGGGGAGGAGGGGGGCGCAGGGTATGTAGAAGGTGAGGCCTCCTGAGAAGGCGGGGCCCGCCTCTTAACTTGGCATCGCTCGGACGTGTGCATTTTTTCTCGGCGAGACGAAAAAACGCACGAAACCGAAACATGCACGGGGAATGGACGTCCGAGCGATGGCCATTCAAGCCCTGCCTCCTCCAGCAGGCCTTCTCGGACAGCACCCACGTAGGCAGCATATGTGTTTTTTCTTCCAGTGGGGCCTCCCTGCCTTCCTCTCCCTGTTACGGTCAATCTCGGATGCGATCGATCCGATTCCGCATCGATTATGGTGGGTCCGATCCGATTAGGTGTGGGTATCTAGACGATCCTTCGGTTGCACTTGGGGATGGGGCAAATGGGGGCAAAAGTTAACGAGAGAAAAAACGTCAGCTGCGTTCTTCGCATATGTGCACTTAAGCACGCATTGGCAGATTTAGCAAGCACGCACTGTCGCGCGGGTGCTTAGGCAGCAGCGGTCGCCCTTCCCGCATCTGCCACCCCCATGTTCAAAGCAATGGGGCGATCCGCGTAACCCCACCAGCCCATCAAGAACCGATGCCTGGGCAGGGATGTGGAGGAGCATGCAGTGGAATCAAAGGCTCGGGAAGCCGTCATGCCCCGAGAGGGGGAGGATGGAGGAGGAATTGGAGGACGGAATGAGGAAGACAAGGAGGAGCAGGCGGAGGTGGAGGGGGAGGAGTGAGGAGGAAGGATGGAGGAGGGAGCAAGGAGGATGAGGAACAGGTGGATGAGGAAGAAAGAGGAGGAGGAAGAGGAGGAGGAGGGTGAGCAGAAAGGCCAGAGACCCGGAGTCTCTCCGAAAGATTCTTGAGAGCTTCGTGAGGTCATTTTGGGACATTTTGGGGGCCTCTTAGCAGTCCCTGGGGCCCCTGTGAGCGTCTTGAGTGCCTCGGGGGAGCCTCTTGGGTTCCAGGCGTCGATCTCCGATGTCGAGGTCTTCTTGCCGTAGTAATCAGGGCAGCTTGTGGCATCGATCTTCAAAACATGGCGGTTGTTGGCATTCAACATTGCTGCGCCTGTTGATGGTTTCGGCCTCAAGGCCTCCAGTGAGGAGGGTGGATATGGAGTCCTTCATGTGGGTCCTTCATGTGGGTCCTGCCAGGCGCAGGCTTCATATGTTGCCATCCGATCGTATAACCAGCTGCTCGCCCGTAGATGCTCTCGTGGTCTTCCTCGGGGATGATCTGAACGATGGCCTGCTCAAATGTCGTCGCCCAGCGACCGTAACGATCATCCAGTGCAGCACGTTCCCTGGGCCTCCAAAATACAAGTGGCCTCCCAAGCAGGTGATCTCATGCTTTGCGTGGTGCCGGTGGTGGCGGGAGGCCTGCGTAGATGTAGTTCAACTCGGCGTCGACAATGTGGAAGCTTGGCGGCGATGTGGGCGCAGCCTCCGTGATGTCAGCGAGGTCGTCGAACGCCCCTCGTAGCTCTTCAGGTCGTGCCTGTCTACGCGCTTCATGGCCCTGCTGCTTGCGGAGAGTACGCGTGCTGGTAGCTGAAGTCTTGCCTGCAGGACTGCCTACTGTAGGCAGGAGCTTGGGCATCTCCTACGCTCGATGCCACCATGTCTTCTAGCTGTCTAGGATGTTGCCACAGCGCAATGCGTCTTCCACGGCACAGCGGTGATGGCACGGAGGGCATCTCGCGCGTGCAGGGATCTTACGATTGTTCCATAGTCGTACATGCGCCCTTGACCTTTGTCGCAAGGAATCTGGACTTGAAGTTTTATCAGGAGGCCATTCATTTGGTGATCCAGCCCGCGTCCTGCAGCTCCTGGGGTTCACAGCTCCAGTCGGCCATGATAAACCATGGGTCTGCTAGCGCCTTGGTGAAGGCTGCCGAAGCTGTCAGAACGTCGAGGTTCTATCCTCTGAGCCCAATGGATGGCAGCAAGTAGGCCGCGATGCAGACGACGTTGCCTGCCTGGAGGTGCAAGGCAGTGGCTGCGAAACCCTTGAACGGATCCTGGCGGCCATTAGACGTAGCTTGTTGGCGCATTCTGTCGCAGAGCGTGGTAGTGAGATTTGTTCGAGATAATACCCGTTCTCCTGCAGAGATGCCTGTCTCTGAATGTCCTGAGAAGAACCCAGCCTTGTAAGAGAAAGAGAGAGAGAGAGAGAAAGAGATGCCACCCATCCAGATGCCCATACAGTGAGCGCTCTTGTCCTCTGGCTGATGGGTCTCTCGACATGCCCAACCAACGGATGGGCGCGCGGTTGTTGATGGAGGGCATTCCGAGCCTGTGGACCCCACAGCGTGATGTTGGCGAACAGGAAGGTTTCATGCACCTCCGGTACGCTGTGCTGCTCGTGGCCTTCCTCGGAGGTGCCGTGTCCAGCAGCACGTGAATCGACGACCGGCTGCTTAGCCGTCAGGGTACATGCATCGCTGGAGCTCCAAGGGGGTCTCCCGCAGACCAGCCCCTGGGTTGCACAAGGCTGCTCCAGCTTGGCACCGACGCCCTACGACGGGAGATCGGTGTCCCTCTGATTATTGATTCAAATTGCTGGCACCTCCATACCTGTGTAGATCTGCGAAAGGATCCAAGTCAGGATCATCCATTGAATTCACTTTGGTCGAGACGTGAGGAGGACCAGTGCAAATCCAAGACGCATCAACGATGCTGGAATAACCCCCCCTCCAAGCTCCCTCTTCACAGGCTCCTACAAGGCTCCATTGAGGGAAGTGCCCCGTGGCGATTGTAGAGGAGGAAGGGGGCGAGGGAAGCACGATGGAGGAGGATCCTGAGGGGAGCAGGTGTGGTGGTGGGGGGGGGGGGGCGAGGAGGGATCTGGGCGGACGAGGGGGTCGGTGCGGAGGGAGAGTGGAGGAGGAGGGAGGACGAGGGAGGGGGAGCAGGACGTTGGGCTGAGGAGCGACTTCCCGATTCGGCACCTAACGACCCCCCAACAATCCTGCACTGTTCCCCGCTCCAGACTTCTCCTCCTCCTCCTCCTCCTCCTCCTCCTCCTCCTCCTCCACCTCCTCCTCCTCCGCCTCCTCCTCCTCCTCCCCCTCCTCGTCCTCCTCCTTCTCCTTCTCCTCCTCCTCCTCCGCCTCCTCCTCTCCAACCGTCGGCGGGTGCACGTTTCTCGGCCCCCCCCCCGTTGATCGCTCCCGCATGAAGTCGAGCGGGGCTAGTACGAGGATAAATCCGTTCCAGAGCGTTCCGGAACGCTTTAAGAGGGCCGCGGCGCCAGAGTATTCCTCCAGAGCCACCAGCTCTCGGAAATTCTTTCTTTATCCTCACCCGATGTTATCTTCGTCCTGGCTTCGTCTCGAAGGCGGCGGCGTCGCCGCGCGCGGCACCCAAGGCGTGTAGCCGACTTCGGCCCAGGAGGAGGAGGAGGAGGAGGAGGAGGAGGAGGAGGCGGGGTAGGGGGCTGTCATGAGGAGGAGTAGGAGGAGGAGGAGGAAGAGGAGGAGGAGGAAGAGGAGGAGGAGGAAAAGGAGGAGGAGGAGGAGGACCAGTGCAAACTCGAGAATCATCAACGATGTTGGAATCCCCGCCCCCCCATCCAAGGCGACCTCACCCGCGTGGCTGACCTGGTCCGCGCCGCCTACGGCCTGCGCGGGGGCGCCGTGGCCGCCGCGTGCTGTGGCGAGGACGCTGCGGCTCTCCAGGCCCGGCGGCCACGCCGTCGTCGGCGTCGGGGATCGAACACGCCGCCTGCTCCTGTAGATCCTGGCGACGCAATCTTTTCGAGCCGGACGTTTTCGCCAAGTGGCATCTTCTTTCTCCTCCTCCTCCTGCTTCTCCTCCTCCTCCTCCTCCTCCTCCTCCTCCTCCTCCTCCCCTCCTTCTCCTCCTCTTTCTCTTCCCTCCCCATCTCCTTTTTCTCCTCCTCCTCCTTCCAGAAGCCCCCTAGGCGCTGCTCAGAGTTCCGCACCCCCCTCGCCCAGCCCCTGGCAAAGAGCCGCTCGCGAAACTTTGAGATCCTGGCGGCTCAATCTTTCGAGCCAGACGTTTTCGCCCAGTTTCGGGCCCCAGGGCCCTCACAGGTTCCGGGCCACAGGGCCCTCACAGATGGATATTGCTCGAGAAATGGCTGAGAAAGACGGGGTCCGGTGCTCCAGTCGTGACGTTTCTTTCACGACGTCTCAAGTTTTTCGAGATGTCAGATCCAGGGGCTGTCGTCGTCGTCATCGTCGCCGTCTCCTGGATGAGAAAAGGTACCGATGCCTTTGGTCGTCCTGGGCAGCTCGCATCGCCACGGCCGGGTTCGCCTCGATTTTCCCAGAGGAGCACCCTGATATCAAGGGAGGAAAAACCGCCCCGACCCCGATAATCTGCGTTCCCTAAACGGCCTAGGGCGTTTACCAAGCAGCGTTGCCCTGTTCGATGTTGTTTTGTGCTTTTACGAAATCGCTTCGCTTGTCGGGTTGCTTATTCTGGGTACGGATTTCCAGCTCTTTACAATCGCGTTGTGATGTTCCAACTTGCTCTAGCCTGAACCACCAGAAAGAAATTCGAGCACCAAGAAAGTATCCAAACTGAACTGGTGTCACCTGTCGGATCCTGGGAGGCGATACTCGTTCGGCACTTCGCCAGCGTGTCGGTCAGACACTGTTTCGATACTTCTCGGATGTTCGAAATTATCCGTAAGGGCTTCGCCCCCTGCTGCCGGCCCCCTCTCGGATAATGGATCATGCACGTCGTGAGGTCTGGTTTCCGTCTTGAGCCAGTGTCAGAACCTCATGCGAGGACGATAAGTCATTGGCAAGAAAGAAGTAGATTCAGATGATATTGTTGAATTCGGTGTTGCATTTTGGACTTGGCCGCGCATGCTGTGCATTGGAGGCCCTCTTGGAAAGACTGGGGGCTGCTTGAGGCTAGAGTGGGCAACATCGCACGGCTGGGGCGGTTTTCAGGCTCCTCGGCGTCTGTTGGAAGGGACCGAGGCCTCGGGGGCGCGAGTGCGCCGAAATTTAAAGGGAATCCTGGCCTCGGGGGCGCGAGTCTTGTGGAAGTGAGAAAGGGCTAATGGCCTTGGGGGCGCAAGTACTGTATAAGTTACGACGGTTAGTGGCCTCGGGGACGCGAATTTGATGTAATTTACAAAGATTGATGGCCTCGGACTCGGATTTTGATTACTCCAACAGGATTAAAAGTTTCGGGGACGCGAGCATCGCCTAATTTACGAGGGTTGATGGCCTCGGGGAAGCAAGCATTGCATAACTTACAGAAAGGTTTATGGCCTCGAGGACGGGAAGATTTCAGAATTTGCAAACGATTGATTACCTCGGAGACGCAAATGTTGCATAGTTTAAGAAAGCTTATGGCCTCGGGGGGCACACGTATTGTTTAATGTATGAGGGTTGATGTCCCCAGGGACGCGAATCTGAAGTAATTTACGACAGTTTGTGACTCGGGGACGCGACTTCTATTATGGCTTTGGTCTGGGGCTGCGGTTCGCAGGCCCGCAGCTGTGCACCCGCCTTGCGGTATACGCGCATCGGCGGATGTTGAGCCCATACGAAATAAGTCCACATGCAGGGTTCGGTCTCCGTTTGGGTTGGTTTGTCTGGACTTAGTCTCTCCTGATCACAGGACCTCCACCTCCCCGATCGCTGGACCTCTCCTGATTTAGGTTTTGGTTCAAAGGGGAGACCCGAATATTCCTTCCAATCACAGACCGATATCGATTCTGCCAATCCTTTGCAAGCTGTTCAGTCTGGTCCTGCATGCCCGTCTTCTGCGAGATCTGGAGACTGAGCAATCAGAAGATCAGCGTTTCTTTCTTCGGCAGCCCTTCATGGGCGCGGATTTCCCGCACGCCGCTCCTCCTCCTCCTCCTCCTCCTCCTCCTCCTCCTCCTCCTCCTGCTCCTTATCATCATCCGCCTCCTCCTGATCGCAGGACCTCTATCCTCAATCCCTCCTCAACGCCTCGATCGACGTCGCTGCGTCACGCCGTGCCGGCTGGCGCCAACCATAGCAGGTCGGTCCTCGTCGACCCCGCCAGGTCCTCGATCCGTGCTGGATGGCGCCACCTCGATCCTCGATTCGATCCCTCTTCGACGCCTCGATGATCGAGGCGTCGAAGAGGGATCGAGGATCGAGGTCCTGCGAGGCTCCATCGATCGAGGCGCGACGCAGCGACGTCGATCGAGGCTCGATCGACGTCGCTGCGCCGCGCCGTGCCGGCTGGCGCCGGCCATCGCGGCGTCTGGCCCTCGCGCCGGCCCGACGCGGGAGGTGCGCGGCGGCCTGCCCTTCGAGCTGCTGTCCGAGGCCTTCGCGGGGCTGCGGGGCCAGCAGGAGGATGTGGCCCTGGAGCTGCTCCGGGAGAGCCCCCCCCCGGGCTGGGCGAGTGAGCATCGACGGGCCTCGAGCGAGGAGGAGGAGGAGGAGGAGGAGG